GCCTTTATCCCACAGCCCAACCTGAAGAGCCCCACTCTCCTGCCCCAAGCCATTARCTCACTCAACTGCACCTATCAATGCATTTGCTTCCTAGTTCACTGCAGTTACTGACTCTGCTTTGTTCTGTGTTGCCCCAAGGTCAAGCTATGTGCAGTGGCAGAAGACCTATGAGTCCCTCTCTGACATGGTTGTGCCTCGCTCCACAAAGTAAGTCAAGTTCCAAATTAAGCTYCCAGTTTGCTCCAGAGATCCTTCCCGAATTTGAGTTCCACAAATTACTGGACCCTGGAGGCAATAATGATCTAACACGTGGGTTCCATGTTAACATATAGATTTGTCCAGTCTCATTTCTGCTGCAACCGTGACTGAAATAGGAAGTTGCTCATCTGAAGGTTGCTAGAGGTGTTTTCCAATTAGTTTCTTGTTCCTTTTTCCAGTAATCTAGYTCTGTCTCCCTTCAGTAGTCACCCCAAAAATGAACCCGGTTCTTTGCCTTTTGTGAAAAACAGCCAAACAGCATGTTACAGCAATCCAGACAGAATTCAGACCTGCAGAAACACCTACAACTTGATGGAAACCACTTCAACAGAGACCAAACACTGTCCTTGAATTTTTAATTGCTTTTTCCTGTAGAAAGATTAATTCAATTTCCAAACTGTTACCTGTATCAGYAAATGCTACATTAACCCTTACAGTTTCAACTGGACTGAAAACTCTGTATTGGAAATTAAATATTCTCCTACTCTGATCAAAATAAATAATGAGGTAAAATCCAGGCCATAAGACTTGTCAGTAATATTATCTGAATTGGAAGATACAGAAAACATAGAGGGAGAACAGGAGGTACACATCTTTGTACACATCAGTGTACAAAGAGTTCAAGAAATTAGTCACTGATATTTAGACTTGAAATCCTGTAGCTGAAGGTAGTAAAGTCTTTTGCTCCCTATTTCAGTCACAGCAGGTCTTGAAAARCAGAGTATCATTCACTAGCATAAATGATAAAAAAGAACTGCAGAAGGACAATGTGGAGAAGATATGGGGGCTTTGTCATGCCRGATCACACCAGTGGGTTTCCCTTTGCAGAATGATTGCTGAAGATGCAGAGGGAGGACTCTTCACAGTGACGCTCTTTAGGAAGGTGATGGATGACTTCAAGGCTAAAGCCAGAGAGAACAGGTAATGGTCCTGAGTGCTCCACAGGCCAGGCTGGCAGGCAGGTGTTCCTTGGGCCTGTTCCTTGGGCAGTACAAACACATTTTTGTTTAAAGGTGCTCTGCTCCTGAGGCTGCTACTGGCCCTAAAAACCCAGAAAACAAGAGGGGAAGGCACCAGGACAGTGTATACAGTGAATTCATTCTTCAAGCCCCAACTTTGGGTCCTGACATTGTTCTTCCTGCTGTCTTGCTGCGGAGCAGCCAGCAGATTCATTMTTGCTTTCTAGTGGTAACTTCAGCTCTCACCTCCTCCACTTTAAATGGTTAAATGGCCAGCAGTTTCCAAGAACCYCACACATGCTTCTCCAGGGGCAAAAGAAATGGGTGAAAATGAAGAAATGGGTGTGCAGATTGCATAGAAAGCAGGTTGCGAGAACAAATGTCCTTCAATTACAGGTTCATGGTTCGAGAATTTTATTTTGATGAGAAAGAACTGCGATGTGAGAAAGAAGAGCTGATGAAATTAGCCTCCGATAAGAAGCAGCAGTACGTAAGTAGCGCACGAGGTTGATGACCCAATGCCCGGCTGCCTGAGAATTAGCTCGGCAACTCACTGTGGTTTTAGTGGTGGCACCTGTGGAACCCCTTCTCACAGCAAAGAGGTCGCAGCGTCGCTGTGTGTGCTCCCATAGGGCCCCTTACTGCGCTGGCTCAAAGTGAACTTCAGTGAAGCATTCGTGGCTTGGATCCATGTGAAGGCCCTGAGAGTCTTTGTTGAGTCTGTGCTGAGGTAAGCGGGTRAACCTGGCAGAGATTCCTGCAGAAGTCGAAATGCACGGCCCGCTCGTGGGTGGGAGCATCCCCGTTACAAACCTGCTCCCAGGAGCTCACAGGAGACCACAGAGGTGGCCAAGAAAGAAGGTGGTTTCATATGTTGACAAACACAGTTCTTTAGGAGCAGTGTCAGTGAAGGTGGAAACAGAAGGGTACTGTTTAGTCCCCCCTATAGCTTCAAAAAGAAGATGCTTTTAGGACAGGAGGCCTCACCACAGCACTGAGCTTCTGTGATGCAGAAATGCCCAGCTGGAGAGCAGGGAGCTGGGAGAGGGYGGGAGGGGAGAGGAGCCTCCGTGCGTTCGTGTGTTTCAAGGTACGGCCTCCCAGTGAATTTCCAGGCGATGCTGCTGCAGCCCAACAGGAAGTCTGTGAAGCGCCTCCGGGATATCCTGAACGTGGTCTTCAAACACCTGGATGAAGTCGCAGCAGCAAGTATCATGGATGTAGGTATTTTGACCACAGCTGYACTCGCTGTCGCTTCTCACAGCGTAGTCAAATGAACCCGTACATAATTGAGGAGCTAGAACAAGCACCTCCTGGCACCTTGCAGCGCCAGGTCCCTGGATGCAGCTCCACTTACCATGGGTGGTTATGGAGTGGATGAGGAACACGGAGTCGCAGACAGTTGATACTTCAAAGTATCTGAGGTTTACAGCTAGATCCATTCAAGCATGGCAGCTTGTCTGGGTTAAAAGCTTGTATTGTCTATGAGTGCAAGCAGCAGAAAGGCATCCAGAGACACGAAGGGTCTGTGGGACCTTGCTGCTCTGCAGACCTGTCCTAGATGCCTCAGTGAGGACCTGAGCAGGCTGCAGAGCTTCCTTTTCCCTCCCTGCATCTCCCGTGCACAGCAGGTCACCCCGTCAGGATAAACCCTCAGTCCCAGCAGCTTAGAACAGGCAGGCACGAGACCAGCAACGCATGGCGGGCGGACAGCACAACCGCGGGTGAATTCCCRATGCCAAAAGCACTAGAATAAAGTGCTAGTCAGTCATAAACATGGATGACACCAAGCTGGGTGGARTGGCCGACACTCCGGAGGGCTGTRCTGCCATCCAGAGGGACCTGGACAGGCTGGAGAGTTGGGCAGAGAGGAACCTCATGAGGTTCAACWAGGRSAAGTGCAGGGTCCTGCAYCTGGGKAGGAATAACCCCAGGCACCAGTACAGATTAGGGGTCGACCTGCTGGAAAGCTGCTCCACGGAGAGGGGACCTGGGAGTCCTGGTTGACACCAAGTTAACCATGAGTGAGCAGTGTGCCCTCGTGGCCAAGAAGAGCAATGGGATCCTGGCTGCATCAGGAGGAGTGTTGCCAGCAGGTCAAGGGAGGGGATCCTGCCCCTCTCCTCAGCTCTGGTGAGGCCGCACCTGGAGTATTGGGGRCAGCTCTGGGCTTCCCAGTATAAAAGGGATGTGAAGCTCCTAGAGAGGGTCCAGCGGAGGGCAACCAAGATGATTAAGGGAATGGAACATCTCTCGTATGAGGAGAGACTGAGTTGGGCCTGTTTTCTCTGGAGAAGAGAAGGCTGAGAGGGGATATGATTAACATGTAGAAGTTCATGAAGGGAGAATGCAGGGAGGAAGGGGACAAACTCTTCTCATTGGTGGCCAGTGATCAGACAAGGGGCAGTGGATACAAGTTGAAACACAGGCAGTTCCATCTSCAKGTGAGGAGGACCTTCATTCCTGTGAGGGTGCCAGAGCCCTGGAACAGGCTGCCCAGGGAGGTTGTGGAGTCTCCTACTCTGGAGGTCTTCAAAACCCGCCTGGATGCCGTCCTGTGCCACATGCTGTAGGTGTGCCTGCTTGAGCAGGAAGGTTGGACTGGATGATCGCTAGAGGTCCCTTCCAACCTTTAAGATTCTGTGATTCTGTGATAAACACCAAGCAACCACCCCATGCAGCTGGGAGCCAAGCACTAGGCAAACACGAAGCACTAAATATGAGAATCCCTACCCAAGGGTGTGCCAAAGTAGTTTGGGGAGCAGTTGGTTTCCCGCTGCTGAGGGAGCACTGCCTGCTTTTCCAGCCCGGTATGGACATCCCTGGTTTACAGCTGAGCAACCAGGAGTATTATCCATACGTCTACTTCAAGATCGACCTCAGCCTCCTCGACTGCAGCTAGAGAACTGCCYGAGCTTCACCTAGACCCTGATGCTACAGGAAAATGAAGCTTCTGCTGCTGCTGAAATGGAAAATAAAATGCAGGTTTCTCCATAGCAGGATAACTATGTATAAATTTTCCTAACACATCCAGTAATTTAAAACAACTGCARTGTGAGTGCTTCTGGTTCATGGATTTCAGAAAACACTGCAGAAGCCAGCAGCACTGTGGTGGTATTTATTGCTTGTGTTGTGGGGGGYGAGTTACAAACATGGAGTCTTGAGTGGGCTTGGAATAAAATGCACTTTAAAAAACRTGGTGGCTGATGGCTCTGCTGGGTGTGCACAGTCCTGGCTTCGTAAACAAGGGCKTAAAAACAGAAGTAGAGAGCACCTGAGCAGAGCCCTAAGCTATCATCTTAAAACAGTTAAGAAGTCAGACAGTCCGAGTCTGTACCTTATTGTAAGGCTATCCTGGCCCTGACTACTCTTTAGTTTTTGCCAGGATTTTTCCCTTAAAACATCTCTGGGAGTTTGCCTGCTGGGAGAGCTCAATCAAATTGAGCTCAAATGTATTTCCTGCCCCACGCTGTGACTGAGGCAGTGGTTCAGTTGTAATCGGCTTTCAGCAGTTACTGCATTGCCTGTAGCTCATCCCTATAAAAGGTGCTCTTACAGAGAGCACTGGGTTATATGTAACTGTATTATTTCTTTGAAAGAATGCAAGCTTATTCCTCTTACTCCTTAYCTTATAAATGGAGCTGATTTTATGAGGGTCACTTTGCTAGACATGGATACACAAGGCATTGAAAGCAGCAGTAATAACAAGAATATTTTTATTAAAAACAAAAAAAAAGCCAAAATAAAAGCAGTAACTACCCCCTCCTCAGCTCAATCCTGATTCTCCTTCCAAGAAAGCTGCATTTGCAAATTAAAACAATGGCTGAATGGGAGGTGAAATATCAGAGCCAGCTTACTGGAGACAGCAGTTCAGCTCCTTTCTCTTAGTACCTTTGATCCATAACACGGCATTAGCTTCACTGCTAACCCTGGGAAGGACGAACRGCTCGGAGCAGAGCCCCAGTTTCCCGCTAGATGCATCTCCCATTCAGCAACAACCCTCCTTTAATTGTGTTAATGATCACACCCATTCCAGCACAAAGAAAGAGAAAGCTCCTGAGAAGGAAAAGGAAGACTAAAGAGCATTGAAACTAAGACTGACTGGTCAGGCTTAGACCATATCATCGAAGATCTTTTGCAGCAGGGAAGTGGGATTATGACTCCCCTCTCCACCAGCCTCTCTATCCTACACTTCATTTTTTGAGAGTCATTAAAACCTGGATAGTTTTTATGTGCATCCTTGTTGCTTCGTACAAAACTAACAGCGTGTGTTGAAAATAGTTTGTTTTATTCTTTAATTGAAACAGAAGCTGACCAGGTTCCACCTCCATGAAAATGAAAAAAAAAAATCACATTTAAAATAGGTTACACTGACAACCTTCCGTAACATTCAAATGCACACACTGTCTCAAGAAARTAAACCCCAAGGTGTTTCAGAGAAAGCTCCATGTTGTGTCCTCAAAATATTTGTTACACAGAATACAATCAAGTTTACTGGTTACAACAATTCATAGAATTTTTGCAATGTTTTCTCGAGATGCGCGCGGCTCCCCGCTGCAGCGGGTCGAGGAGCACGGTGTGTCCCCTGCTACTGCACCGCAGAAAGGCCACTGGAACCTCCAGCTGATTGGGAACCAGGCTGCCAACCGCTGCACAAACTCTCCCAAGAAAAGAGGTTTCCTGAAGGTCTCACAGCTCATCTTTATCCCAGTCATCGAGGTCGACATCACTGAGATCAATGTCATCTTCTACTGGAAGCTGCGAAAAAGGAAGATAAAATTTTAATCAAGAGTTTAGAGGCATCTCTAAAAAGAGGGACACTCACTGACTTAAACCTCTGGTTTGAGAAGTGAATGGGCTTAATGGCTCCTGTCATCTTCTTCATTCACAAAGGCTCACRGGATATTGAGCACAGGTCAAGTTCTCAGAGCTGAGACCAAAAAAAAGGGTATTTTCTACAAATACTCCAAATCTAAAAAAGCAGCTACAAACAGAATATGTAACATATGTAACAGYAGTATCCTCATACTCTGTATTTTAATCCAATCAGTGGATAGTGGTGACTGTTTTGTCTGATGGTACTGAGCCTTGCACAAGAGCTTCCTGAGCCTCGTGTGCAGCAGCCACGCAGGCTGCAGCCAGGCACTTGGCCACAGCAAGGCTTTGGTGGCAAAGTCTGGGGTTCAGGCCTGCAGAATCTGTGTCTGCAGATCCAGGCCTTGCCTGAACACCCCCCAGCCACCTCATCCTTAGGCTCAGGCCTGTAACCCCAATTCCCCTGAAGGGTTTGAAATCTTAGATCACATCCCAACTGCTGAATAGGAGTGACTGTCCACAGTGTCAGAAAACCAAGCTGGCATTCRACAACTTCTTGATGTTCTGACAGAATTTAGGTAGTATTTGCTACGATTTTATCCTGAAGGGCAAACACTTTTATGTTCATAATACACGTACTGAATACGTGGCCTCTCTCCAGGCCTTTCCCAACCAGCAGAACAACGGCACATCTAGAGGTGGAGCATCTCTTACCTCACCATCTTTGCCATCCCAAGGTTCAACTACGTTAATTTTGGGGAAGGCTCCACCACCCACTGGTGCTGTAGAGCCACGGCCAACAGAGAGCTCCCTGAGAAGAAACAAGTGAAATGGAGGTTTAAACAATTTCCCCAGTCTCCATCCACCTCGAGCAGGGCCAGCTTTGAATGAAGTCCACTGATCAGCTGGCCTCAAGCAAACACGAGCAATATGTAAGCACATCTCCAACCTGAACTGAACACAAAACCCAGAGAACTTTCTGAGCCACGTGGTTTTACATTTCAGCAGCTTCCCTTTTAATACTTGTGGAGATAGGCAGCCTCTTTATATGATACACAGCACACCTTTGAGCCAGCTCTAAGAACTGTCTATTAATTCTAAGCTTTGGGAGTTACTAATTTTATACAGCAGTTACTGAAAACTGCCAGTCATTAATTTCCTCCTTTTGGCCTGATTTGAAACCTCTGCTGGTTACAAAGACGTTCACAAAGTCACAGCTTCTGCTTTCAGGCATCTCAGGTATCATTTGCTAATTATGCTTCCTTAAACATTTTGAAGTGCTGAAAAGCTACTCCCCCTGCATTCTTTCTGCAGCAAATCAGACTGGGCAAGCACTGCTCTCCAGCTAGACTCTAACATTTGCATGCTTTTCTCAGTGCTGATTACTTTAACGTTGCTCAACATCAGATTATTGGATTATTTTAGCCTACTACACTTTGCTTACAGAGCTAAGAGTCAGCTACACTCCCTGCAACTGTCCTGCTCTCCTTGCAGAAAGCACCATTGAGCTGAAGCGTCAAATAACAGATTATTCCASAATTACTGCTCTGTAGTTAGAAAATATCAATCAAATCATCTAATTTACTAAATTTAATTTTTTTTCTTCTGTAAGAACCAACCATTCTGTCCAGAATAAGTTTCACTAAGACTGTTTCTGTGCAATCTAAGAGAATTTGCCATGTCCAAAAAGGGCAGACACTTCYCTGACATGGCTGAGCAGACTGGCCAGTAGAGTCGTCTTGCACCCCATCCTAAGTTTCACTTAGTCCTCTTAAAACCTTCCCTTCTTGGTACTGTTCTAAGAAAAAAAAAAATCTTTTGGACAGAAATATTTATACATATTTATATAAGAAATATTATATGTATTTMTATGTGCATATATATAAAAATATTTCTGTCCAAGAGATCTTATATATACATACGTGTGTGTGTGTGTGTGTATAACACAGAAACAAAGCAGAAAATACCCTTCTCAAAGCTCATTTTTTCTATTTTTGAATGACCATAAAAAGACCATTCAGGGTTAGACTGCAAATGACCAACTTCTTGACTATTTCTGTCCACCACAGAAAGGTGAAGACAGTTTTAGCAGGTCTGTTCCCACCTGAGCCATTCCCTTAATGAACTGATTACCCATCATCTCAATTCTTGTAAGTGTGCAAGCCTCATCTCATCCAGGAGAGACAGTTCTTGCTCTAAAGCCACAGCCCCAGTTACTGAAAGATTTAAATCACTTAAAGAAACACTTTACCTGAGAAATTCATTAATCCCCTGCTCACTGAAGGATCCTTTCAGAAGGGCAAATTTCATCTTCCGTGCGTTAACAGCTGCCATTGCTGGATACCCGAAGCCTCCAATGCCCAAAGAGCTCTCAAGATCTGCCTGAGCACCCGCTTCTGTCCACAACCATCTTGGGGCAAAAAAGAAAGCACAAAACAGTCAGTAAAGTCAGCACAGCTGTTTTAAAATGACACGAGTTTGGAGCCCTGTACAGCAGTCACTGCCTGACACGTCTCCCCATCCCACCTTGTTGTTACTCAAGCCAGCAYGGGACAGCAGGGTCAGGGATTCTGGCCCCTGCAGCACAGCAAGCCCTTCATGAGCAGCACATGTAGGGCAGCCCTCACGCTCACAGCTACTGAGAGCCACATCAGAAGAACAGGCATCGAAGAACCACCAAGGCAAGAACCACATTATCATTTAGAAGCTGCTATACTCCAGCCTGAATTAAGTAAAGCTTAAAACRGCCCAAGTCACAGATCTGAGCATGACTCAGCATTGCCCAATTTCCCCTGCATGGGATTTCTGGCCAAAGACTGACTTTTTCACCTCATGTTATTTCTCAGTTTCTCTGATCTCAGCTCTCTTCTCCAATGCACAAGTGTCATCTCGTCCCATTGTCAGAGCAGTCAATGTGTCCCAACAGCCCTCGCTTCCTAACGAAGCCAAYACTCCCTCTTCAGCAACCCCCCTGACTTCTAGGAAAGGAAATGGGTGCCACATACCCTACCCTGCATCCTGGGGGACGCAGCAAAGCTTTATGGCCTGCTTCTTTAGGAACATGATATATATTGTTAATAAACTGCCACTTTTATTTTAGAACAAGATGTATCCATCCCTACAGCAAAGCTAGGAACTGTTGCAAAATACACTGTTATGTGGTATCCTAGACAAGGACCAGCTATTTGCAAACAAATTACTATCATGCAAAGTTCTCTTCCACAGCCTCTTTAAAAATCTCCCATCTTTTCACCAAGAGGTCCAGCCCAGCCTACAATGACACTTACCCCCACATTTTCTTTTTGTATTTTTCAGCCATTTTCAACATGACATCCAAGTAAGAATTCCTCCCTGAGGCTCCTGTTTGACAGGACAGAATCACACAAATTATGAAGCACAACTACATGCCTTGGGTGACAAATTAGCTCAAAAGACTGATTCCTTGAATTCTACCTGTGTCAAGAATATGAGGCAGGACAGAAATGACRCAGAGCTGATGAGCATCACAGGTGGTCTTCAGGACATCTTCACTAACAATCTGGAAGGAAAAAGCAGGAAGTCAGTGACAGTTTGGAGCACCCAGCTGCAACTGCACCTGGCTCCACCAGCCCACACACTCTGTCCTACTTGAGGTGTCTGAAACAGCCTGACAGCTTAAAAGCCTCTCCTGCAGCCCTGCTTCCCCAACACAAGACTTAGACAAAAGCTTCACCAAGATTTCTGTTCATACTTGCAGGAAAGTAGTAGCAGTTATCAGTAATAAATAATGCTGTCAGGCAGGCCAGTAAAATGTCACTGCTTGTTCAGAAACACTTTTCCTGGATCRGTGATGGTCTAAAACTACAGCTCTAATAAACTGCAGATTAGTCTGCACACTCAGAGCTATGCACGTGCCTTGTCAGTACAATTCCTGCTGCTGTTGCCTTAAGGAGAGCCAGCAGGGTGCAGCACTAACAGACAAGTGACAAGACAGCAAAATATCAGTTTTATGGGATCCCTCCATCACCTTAAAAAGGAATCAGCCCATCTATGTAGCCCATTTATCATAAATGCTTCTCTGTCAATGGTGGAAATGGAGCACCACTATGTAAGAGTGGGGCTTTCTGGACAACAAGCAAAAATCACAAGCTTCATCCAACTCCAGCACTGGAGATGCAGCTCTCAAAGCAACACAGGGCACAGAACCCAGCCCTTGTCACTCGTTCCCTTTGGGGACCATTTGGGCACAGTGATAATTCAGCCTGGTACCAGTGCTGCCAGTGCCTTCTCTTCTGACAGCYCATCAATGAACAATATATTCCCAGCAGAGACTGGAAAACTTGCGATCTTTGGATATTTCTGCCAYAAGCTTAGTGCACACACAGCACACTTTGGCTGTGTTATTCACAGTCCACGTACCTCCAGGAGCTCGGGTGGTGGGGCATTATCTGAAAACAGATCCAGGGCACGAGCAATGATATCAGACCTAGTTCTTCCACCTTCATAATCTGCAGGATCTTCTCCTTTTTGAAAGATTTTGATTGTGGGAAATCCACGAATCTGCAAGAGAAGTTAAAATCATTTCAAACAAATCTGAACATTTATGATGGAAGTTACCTGCTATCCTCATGTGTTCTAGATCAAGAGGAAGGGAAGAGAGAAACAAGTCTTAGGAAGGGAAGAGAGAAACAAGTCTTAGGAAGGGAAGAGAGAAACAAGTCTTAATAGCTTATGACCGAATTTAACAATTTTGCAGTTCCCTATCAATGTTTGAAAACAGTGTTAATGTAAGTGAAGTTTCAAACTGTATTACCAATGAAGCGGAAATGGTCTTACAGTTTAGAAACACCATGTTACATGCTTAATTCCCAGGGGGACCATATAGCCCCTTCATATTTTTAAGATATTGAGGTCTTAAGACCTTGATTGCATTTTGGCCCTAGGAAAACGGTGCTGTGTCTTCGTGGCCATCACTGCATCCTAGACTCCCTCTGCTCCGCCTCCAGCAACTGGAATTTTTGGTACCTACCCAGTGTCCTTGCACTTACAGGGACATTTTAAGCAGAACATTAAGCTTCCCTGTACTGTGTCACTGAGATTTAAAGACTGCCAGTTCACTCTAGGCCCAAAGCATAACCCATCCAAGCAGCTGATACTTTTAGAGTGATCCCTGATAACTGGCTCACAAATACAGTAYAGCTGCTGTACAGGAACCCAACTGTGTTCTGCAGATACCCGGCCAGCATCCATGACAGCCTGAAAGGAGACACTTCTCACTTAGGATGCTGAAGTTATACAAGATCTCATGGAAAGTCTTCATTATCAACATCCCTRTTTACCCTATTTTCTTCTCACCCTATTTGCTCTTCTTGCTACCTCATATTGAGGAAAGACGTTTGTGGAAAAACGTTACRTGCCACTCTTAACAATATTTTTAGTACAAAACACGAAGAAGCACCAGGTTAAGAAATATTTCTGTAAGCACTAAAGGTCCATTTGACTTCCTGRAGATGGAAAAGGAACGGGAACCCCTGTAGATCACACTCACCCCATATCGAGTGGCCAGCATCTGATTGACGGTCGCATCCACTGCGGCCAGCTTGACTTTGCCCTTCGTTTGCTCCTTCACTTCAGTGGCAGCTGCTGCCCATTCCGGCTCCAGACTGAAAAGAGAGAGATTATCAGTGCTCTAAGCACTCCAGAAGTTAAAAACAGTACATGACATGTCAATACTAGGCAATATATTCCTCTCCTAGAGGAAAGAAAAAGGGAAAAAAAAGTATTTGTGAAGAATAATAGCTAGTCTGATTRTTCCACAGGAGGATTCCTTAAATCCTGCATGAGAAGGGATGAAAGGCGATCCGATCTTGAGCAACGGTGAGGGGGAATTTTACTACTAAGCAGGAGCACTGCAAGAAAAYACTCTTAATTGTTGAAAAGCACCTAAGTGCTCAGAGCAGAAGCCCACACAGCTTCAGTATAACATTTTATGGAACAAAACCAACTCCCTTCTGGTATAATAAGAAGTGTAAGGTCCCTTGAAGGGGATTAAGGCTATGCCACGCAAACAAGCAYTAACTGGAAATGAATTTTCACAAAGCTTAGTTACTTTTTGCAGTGCCCACACCAAGGGGCATAGAACTCCACCATCCACACATCATCACTGTTTAGGACGTTCTTATCAAAGCTGTCATCAGTCAGCTCGATCACATCCTTCTTATCTCCACCTCCGCTCTCTCGGCTCTGGGAAAAAACACACACAGACCCTCAAATAAGAAATAACCAAACTTGGTCTCCCACACAAGCCCTCTCCTATGTGTCATGTTATACAAAGTGATATATACAAGACAGGCAACATTACACGGTGCAACTCTCCCACTGTAGAGCAGGACACAATGTGATCCACGGCCTATCCCACAGAAATTCCAAGAAAAAGCAAATGAAGCTTCTTCTAAAGAGCAGAATCCAGGTCAAATTRTATCTCCCTAGTAACATTCCCACATAATCTCAGCTATTCACAGTCAGAGAGCAGGGCACTCACTCTCCTCCCCACACACTGTATCCTGGCTTCCAGGAGACATGGGTGAGTAGGGAACACCCTACAGTCCACTCAGGCTCCTATTGTGTCAACCTGGTGATGCCAGACGGTGCTTCTTTCATGATTTAAGAGCAGCACTAGGAGTCAGGAGCTTTGCCATTCACTTTGAGGGAGAACTCTGGCATGGGAAACACCCTTACCTATCCAGGTTAGACTAGATCCTAGAAAACAGAGATGCTGATACCAAACAGAACCACCTTGATTGCTGGAAGGTGTCAGACCTAACTCTCCTCAAAGCCATTTCCAGGCACATTTAAGACACAAAGATGACTGGGAGTAGCGAGCATGGATTTGAAAAGGTAAAGTCATGTCTGAAGACAGGCTTGCTGAATGGAGGGAAAGCAGTGGATGAACTTCCACATCAAGGGCCATGATGACGATGATGGGCTTAGACCATCTACTGCATGAACAGAGGCTGAGGGAACTGAGACTGTTTAACTTTGAGAAGAGAAGGCTCTGTGGGGATCTTATTAGCTGTGTACAGTCGCTTGATAGAAGGCAGACAGAGCCAGACTCTTCCCAGTGGTGCCCAGTGACAGGACAAGAAGCAAAGGGCATAAATTGCTACAAAAGAAATGCCACTTAAACATACAAATACATTTTTTCCTTTACTTGAGGGAAGTTGAACACTGGAATGGGCTGCCTGGAGAAGAAGGGGGCAGTCCATTCTCGGAGATGCTCAAAATCTGACCGACATGGTCCTGAGTGGCCTTCTATAACTGACCCTGCTGAAAGCAGATGTGTTGCACTAGAGTTTTTCTGCAATACAGGTCCCTGCAAACCTCTACTGCTCTGTGATTCTGTTAATAGAGTGCACAAGCCCCTGCTCTCTGGCACAGGACAGCCTCTACATACAAATAAAATTACACATTCCCTGATTAATACCTGTTTCCCAGAACTATATCCTCCACTTCTGCCACTCAGACGTTCTTTCACCAGGGACCGAAGAGCACTTAGAGCAGCATCGACAATAGCTTCACTTGTCCTGCCACCTGCAATGCAGAAAAATGAACAATTAAAGCATCAAAAAGCAACTTTAAGGTCAACAACTGACTCAGTTCTCATCTCAAGGACCAAAACYTCTGCTGGATTCAGGCAGAGAAGGAGTGGCCTGCAAGTGGCATGGTAAGAGTGATGTTACATCCAGTAGGATTCACTCCACTTCCAAACTCATGTCATCTGAAAGGGCAGGGCTACGACAARCTCCCAGCAAACAGAAAGGAACAATTCCCTGAACTGCTTCCTAACCTCCTCCAACTACAAACTTGGAACGGGACAAGTAGCTCAGAGACAGCCACAACCTGATCCAACAGCTCCCATTTGTCTCTCTCTCTCAAACAGCTACTAATTATAAGCATTAAACAGGAAGAAAATACCACATAAAGCAGCATTAAAAGGCAACATAAATACTGTCTTCAAGGACACTTTCAAGGCATGCAACATGTGAGAGGGCACCAGATTTACCCTGATAATCTTCCGCTTTGTTTTTGTTGGCTCCAAAAATCTTGATAGTTGGAAACCCTCTGACGCCGTATTGCCCGCCCAAGGACTGGTGCTTATCAGCATCTACAGCACCTACTTTCACTACACCCTGGAGAAGTAAAAATAGAAACTGTGTAAGACAAATCTTCTGCTGTGATTTAATCCATTTCATACTCTGAACGATGAACAGGTAGTTATTAGAAAGGTAGGAGAATGGGCGCCCCAGAAAGCATTATATCAAGGGAAAACCTTATGTGCCTAATTCTTCTTCATGCTGGAGAGTTTCTTAAATTTGGAACAGTTGACTTTTTAAAGAGGGTTTAATTTATGCAGAAGTTTAACAAGTCATTACATGGCCAAACCTTCTGCAATGAAACAAATGCTCATCACCTACAGTTTACAGATCTGTGTTCAAACACTCAGTTCATKATGCTTCTGAACTTCAAAGGAAGGAAAGAAAAAACTCCACAATAATCTAGAGGATAGCTGGCTTCCAGCCACCTTTATGGTGGTAAGAATAGCCTTGGAAAACAGAAATGGACACATTCCAACACAGAATTGTCTTGCTTCTTCTACAATGCTCTACAAAACCTCTATAATGACTTCTTTTTAAATTTTCCTTCTGATTGCTGGTGATGCATCACTTCTCTGGTGAGAGGAGCACCACTTCTGCAAGCCTGACCAAGCAGCAGACTTGTCCTCCCCGACTCTGCTCCTAAGCTAGATGATAAAGAACCAAACTGTCCTTAATCAGCAATCACACACGCACTGGGGAAAAAATAAACTTACTTTTAATGCTGTTGCTGCTTTCTTCCATTCAGGGGTAAGTCTTTGACAATGACCACACCTTTTAAGAGAGGTAAATAAATAAATAAATAGTTTGCTTATAAATAAAAAGTTGATGTCACGATGCTGCATCACAGCATCACTCAGATGTTGATAAATAACCTCCAGAGATACTGTTTTGCAAACACCTCCTTCTAAGAAGCATCTAAATATATCCAACAGGGCAATCTGTAACTCAGTAGGTGTAAAGGCAGAACTGAAAGAACTTGCATCTAACACTGCTGAACCATGGAAAAAGGAACCACAGAGATGGAATTCCATCAGTGCTTTTGCTGTGAAAACAATTCCTACAGAGCAGAACAGTTCAAGCACCCAGATCAGTGGCGATATTCAAGTGTACCCAGACACCCTCAGCAGAAACAGAAGACACACACACATGTGCACATGCAYAAGCTACACTTACCCCAGAATTTCTTTAAACATTGACAAAAGAGAACAAGCACAAAACCTCACACAGTTAATAATAAAGTAAATGCTACTAATCCCAAGTATAAGTTAACCTGTATGGCCTCAGCCTAGAAATGATCCCGTCTTGCACATACAGTGCTTGATAACAGCTGATTTGGAATATAAAGTGTTTTATTTCAAGTAATTAAATTATATGAAGTGCTGGGGAGTCACCTAACTCTTTACGTGAGAAAAATCCAAACTCTCGTTAAAACCAGCATCCAATTATGAAAGGTTTTGAGATGGAAGAGAATAAAGAAGTGTCAAGTTATTCAATGTTTCTACCACGCAGACAAATGCAGCCACCAAAAGCCAAATTTGCACACTGGTGTTTTACAAGCTAAAACAGACATGAGCTTCTGACAGAAGCAAAAAAAAAAAAAAAACACTCTAGAGACAACTCCTTAGTGAGACATGCCACAAATTCTTGTTCATCTCCTCCATGGCTGGAGACCAACAGCTGACTGGCAACTCGTGTGTAATCATCACATCCCAGGTGTGGGGAAAGGGAGCTGGCCACAGTGACAGCCGCTCTGTGCTCTGTCCCCCTGCTCCYGCTGTGAAGCTGCAGCAATAGCAGCACAAGGGGCAGGCAGCTCCTTTTCCCACGCCTGTGCTCCCAGTGCTGCAGCAATGAGAGACCCTTTCTTCAGAATGCAGAGGTCTGGAGAGGGGCAGTGCAGGGGATGCCCATGAAGCTGTGATGTGCACCACCAGCTTCACACACAGGATGAAGCAGGTTGCTCTGGAGGCAAGTGGGATGGCAAAAAGAGGCGGTAAATTAAGATCACACTGAAATTAGGAAATAGAAATTCTAAGTGTAAACAGGCATGCACTTTCAATTCAAGATCAGTTTAAGAAAGACAGAGTTGAGGAACTTCCTCCTCTCTCTACTGCACTTCAATCAATCAGGTTTAAATAGTAATCTCAGCAGAAAAATAGAAGTAGTAAAGCAGCATGTAAGATTTTGCTGTTACACCCCATTTGCCAACTCAAGACAAAATTTCTCCTTTTTGCCCTGGTGAGGATGTTGAAAATAGGAATCACACCACAGCTAATCTTGCTCATCATGTGGCCGCCAAACTGAGGACTGTGTTGTCAGCAAAAGAACAAAACCCTTGGCTGGTCAACACCAGCTCGCTGTGGTGCAAGGTAAGAGAAAGCAGATGTGCAGCTGTAATACTTACCACGGGGCATAGAACTCCACGAGCCACAAGCTCTCACTCTGAATGACCTCCCGGTTGAAGTTGGTTGGCGTCAGCTCTATCACATCATCGCTGGCCGAATAGAGGCCATTAACAGCCAGGAACAATGTGCAGCTCACTGTGCCTAGAACCAAAGCAAAGCCATCAGYGCTCCTGCAAGACCAGTTATGGCTCCCCTGTTTCCATGATAAATCATCTCTCCCTCTCCCCTGCTATCCTATAAATTAGTACGAAAAAGGAAAGGACATTCCAAGTTCACCAGAGGAAAGGAAGTTAATGCAATATGGCTTCCCTCCTCACTCAAATAAGGATTCCATAGGATCGTATCATAGATTCTCTGTACGTAAAAATAACCGGAATTGTGGCATCCCTGTTACAGCTTTCCACAGAATTTTGTGTTGTCGAAGTTGCAACCTTAACCACTGGTACAAGACACTGCTTCCTTGCTTCCTCGTGGATCTTCCCCAAGATCAGCCAGATTTTCTCACAATTCTTGTTCACAGAAACTCCTACACCAATTGCCCCTTTCTCCTATGCAATAAGACACTCTGAGAGCAGCAGGATCATATTACACAGGACCTTCCTGTGCAGTCTTAGTTGCATTGATTTTAGTACCAGCACTTGATGCACTGATAGTGTAAGGAGCTTCCTCATTCCTGTCTGTGAGGATGCTAATCTAGCATTGGTTTGTCTCTCCAGTGATGGACTAAGAATAGCTAAATCTCTCTGGATAATGACTCGGGCACCTGTAGAACTCAAAACAAACAAAAACCAAAAGGATATTAACTTTCTGTTAACAAATACTTTTCTGGTCTAGACCTTTTTATTGCTCCAGACAGTCAATATAAGACTTCACAATCCCTCCTCCTATCCTGTCAGAGAGACTAAGAGATGGCGTGATGAAAGACAAGGATTTGGCAAAAAACCTGTAGAGCAGGAGACTCTGAACTCACCGCAGAAAGGCTCAGACATGAAGTTAAAACTATATAAAAGCGGTTAGCTTTGTTCCAAGTGGTTRATAATTTGAATATTAAAAGGGATGTGAAAGTTACAGTCTGTTTAGCAGGCKGTGGCAGAGAGCAAGACTGAGTTGTTTGCTGCAACCTAGTGCTCTCCAGAACTGCCTCCTAAGGACTTCTTTTAGTCCTAGGGCTCCATCTTTTCCTTTTGGGGGACCCTGCTTGGTTTCCACCACCACGTTTGCATGTCAGGAAGGCTTTCTCCCTTCACTGCATCCACAAACAAGCAGCATTTCGTCAGCCCAAGCCAAAGAACTTCCAGGCTGATACGTGACTGCCACAACATGTCACAGTGACCTGCAGTAGCAGCTGCCACCAGAGCAGAGCAAGAAAACAAGGATGCAAAAAGCTACTTGAAAGTTACAGTCACCAAGGGAAGAAACTCCTCCTTAAATAAGGGAGGACCATTAAGCTGAATCCAACATATTCTGCCTTCATCTATGAACATATTCAGAAAATTAACAAGCTTCACTCAACCATTTCTGCTTCTCACCTATGTCAAAGCAAGAAGTTTAATTTATACAATAGTTACCAAGAACAGCTCAGAGAATAAAGTTAATGGTGAAATTCACCTAATCATGTGTCGCTGCATTTTTTAATGTGACCGTCATAAAATGGTAGCATAATTTTCATTTCCATAAGTATTCAAAGTTAAATTCATCTCTAGCTAATTAAGGAATAGATCACTTTTCTGCAAGAACTTAAAGCAGAAAAAAACACAAGTCTTTGTTTGATAGTAAGGCATATTAAAAAAAAAAARATTTTAGATAAYGTAGTTTAAAAAATAGTTGTTTTCCTATGTATATGAATTATTTGGATAGGAGTGTTGACAGAATCACAGACTGGTTGAGGTTGGAAGGGACCTCTAGAGATCATCTAGTCCAACTCCCTGCTCCAGCAGGGACACCCGGGGCACGGGGCGGCATCCAGGCRGGTTTGGAAGACCTCCAGAGAAGGAGACTCCACAGCCTCCCTGGGCAGCCTGTTCCAGGGCTCTGGCACCCTCACAGGAAAAGAAGTTCCCCATCATGTGGAGATGGAACTGCCTGTGTTTCAACTCSTACCCATTGCCCCTTGTCATATCACTGGCCACCACTGAGAAGAGTTTGGCCGCAGAGCGTTGTTAAATCAAACAGAAAAGTTTCACATTAAGTTCAATAGTTTCTCACCAAAAAGCCAAGATACAACTTAGTGCTGGGGAAAAATATAAGCCCTACCTATGGGAGAATGCTTTTATAAGCTTTTTAAAATGAGCAGAAAACCCTACATGTTCTGCAGCGGAACTTGGTGAAGTTCAAGCACTGAGACCTCTGGTTCTGCGCAGCGTTACCTGCACCTCCGGGGCTCTACTGATGAATGAGACTAATGGGAAGTGCCCAATAATTTGATTACTGACCTATCTATGACRGAAGACCCAATAACAGGGGAGCAGGAAGGAAGAACAGCTCTGCATGGACTCCTCCCTTTGGCTTCCAATAATAAACTGAATCCCTACAGAGCTTCATCCCAGTTAATCACAAAGTGTCACTATTTAAAGAAAATAAAAGGCTTTTAAAATATTCATTAGAAGGAGAAATAAATGCTGATTTTGGGGGTGTTTTTTTTGTTTGTTTGCTCGCGGGGCCCGCAGAGCTCSGCTCCTGCACCGACCAACCCACCACACGAGGCAGGGGGGGCACGCTAAGGCCGCGCACCGGCTCGCGCTGCTGACCCGGGCCAAAGGCGGCCGTTTCGGCACTTACCTGCCCTCCTGGGCGGCTGCAAACCGCCGCCCAGCCCCGGGCCCCGCCGCCCAGCCCCGGGCCCCGCTCCCTGCCCCCGCCGCCCCGCCGCCCCGCGGGCCCCGCCGCCCCCGGGCCGAACCCAGCCCCCTCCGCGGAGCCAGGGCGGGCACGAGGCGGCCCCGGCAGAGCCAGAACCCGCGGCGGGGAAGCCGCGGATCCCTCAGGCAGGCGGGGAGCGGGGAATACGGCGCGCGCCGCCCTCTCAACGGCCGCTCCGTCACGAGCCCCACGCGCGCGCGGCTCCTACCCCACCAGAGGCGACTCGCGCCCCGCGCCCCCATGGCCGCCGCTGCCGCCGCCAGAACGCGCCCCGCCCGCCCGCAGCGCCCACGCGCGCCGCGCTCCCCGCCGTGGCCGCCGCCCATTGGCCCGCGCCGGCGTTGGTACATTTGCATAGCCAATGGCCGGGCGCCGCGTCAGGCTCCGGCGCGGAGGGGCGGGCCCGCGGGCGCCCCCAGCGGGCGGCGCTGGGGGAAAATGGCGCCTTTGTCCGCGCGAGCGGAGCGGCCGGGCAGGGCCGGGCCGGACCCATGGGGTGGCGCCGGGCAGGGGCGGCCCGTGGGGTGCCCGAGCCCCGCTCGTGCGGCCTGTGGCTACAGGAAGGGCYGCGGGGCCTGGCAGCGGCACTCCGGAGACCAGGAGCAGCGCCTACATCGCAAAAATAGAAATAAAATAAAAATATAATATTTTCAAGCCAAAAAGCTTGAATGCTAAGATACTAGTCCAGCCATGTCRGTTAGAGGCCAAAGGGAAACAAAAAAAAGGTGTAGGTGAGGCAGGCAGGCATGTGTCCCCACAGGCACTGCTAAAGCTGGGAACGCCTCCCTGCATCCAGTGGACATTTGGGAAGTTTTTGTCCAGTGGCACCAGCTGCATATGGCCACGCTGGAAGAAAAACCTTCATCCTAGCTCGAAAGAACAACAACTGTGTCAAAATCCCAAAGTTTTATTATTCGTTTATTACTAACACTTGCGCACTCTAGGAAGTGTTAGTGCTCTGGGCTATGCTGCTTTTGGGCCTGGATTTGAACTTAAGATAAAGCTGAAAGATTCACTGAACTGTCATTTTTTTTAGTGCATTAATAGTAGCTGGGCTTAATCACCATGAACATAAAAAAGATCTCAGCTTGGATTGGAAATGGACAAATTCTTGCATTCCACCCACATCCCCATGGCTTCACACTCACAACTAGCACTTTTAGGGCTGCTCAGGCCTGCCTCTTAAAATATGAAATTGTCAGCACAATGGTGCGAAAAATATCCAGCCGTTACCAAATTCATGTTGCTTCAGATAGGGAGGATCGGGGATGCACAAAATCTTGATCAGAGAGGCCATGTAGTATTGAATCTTGGCACTTCTCAAAAAAAAAAAAAAGAAAAAAAAAGAAAAAAAAGAAAAAAGAAAAAATCTTGCAGAACACAGAACAGAGATTCAAGTTTGTGATGATTCCTAGCTCTTAAGATAAACCGTAACATATTTCATAGGTAACATATTTCATAGGTTTTGGCTTCAAATCTGTCTGTAGACAAATCTCTTTTTGGGGAAGTTTTATGGTATGGCACCAGAAAAGTTTTCCTTTGGATGAGGTGCTTTCCAATGAATTTGGGTACTATCGGGTTCCTTAGTGCATAAAGAAACACGAGTTTATTTTGTTGCAGTAGAGAGTATGATACATCCTTGCCAGAACAGAAGGAATATCGATATTTCTCTTCCGTTGCACTACTATGATGGAAGAAAGTGAGCATGGCGCTTTGGGCTGCTTTTGAGCAGTTTACATGACATTAGCTCCAAGCAAAATCCTTAAATATGGATATAATTATAGGATAGTTTTGTGGCAAGTAGGAGAAGAGGGATAAACTTGAGGATTTGCCAYTGGTTACAGGAACTGCATAAAGGTAGAATATTTTGTTTTTCATGAGTGCCATGCAATAATAAGATGAATGTCTGTGTTCAATATTTAGTACCAAGAAGGCATCTCTCAAATCAGTTATTGCCAAATGAGAAATTTTTGATACTAATCTTTACTGAATTGGTGAATTTCTTGTGAGTTTCTACAGGAAATAATTCTATGCCACGAGTTACTCAACATTTTTATCTATGTTCTAGCAATGCACATAAGGCGATGCTGATAAAACCTGCCCTTATACAAATATTAGTAGAGTGATAAATAACGCCAAAAACATGTCAGTGATATGATTATTTAACAAATGAGGAGCATTCAAGCAAAGCACACAAGGGATTTAGGAGTTTTGTGGGGGGCTTTTCCTGTCTCAGTGGAGACAGAATTAAGGCTAATATCAGGTTTGCATATTGTGTCTCCATTGCAGTGTGAGCTGCTAGTGTGACATTATTGGCAAAGAGGCTTATGTGATTTGTGGCTCACAGATTCACAGATTCACAGAATATTTAAGGTTGGAAGGGACCTCTACAGATCATCTAGTCCAACCTTCCTGCTCAAGCAGACACACCTACAGCATGTGGCACAGGGTGGCATCCAGGCGGGTTTTGAAGACCTCCAGAGTAGGAGACTCCACAACCTCCCTGGGCAGCCTGTTCCASKGCTCTGTCACCCTAACAGTAAAGAAGTTSCTCCTCACCTGGAGACGGAACTTCTTGTGCTTCAGCTTGTGGCCATTACCCCTCGTCCTATCGCTGGCCACCAGTGAGAACAGCTTGTCCCCTTCCTCCCTGCATTCTCCCTTCCTGAACTTATACATATTAATCATATCCCCTCTGAGCTGTCTCTTCTCCAGAGAAAACAGGCCCAGCTCACTCAGCCTCTCTTCGTACGAGAGATGTTCCATTCCCTTAATCATCCTGGTTGCCCTTCTCTGGACCCTCTTGAGAAGCTCCACGTCCCTCCTATACTGGGGAGCCCAGAACTGCACACAGTACTCCAGGTGCGGCCTCACCAGAGCTGAGTAGAGGGGCAGAATCACCTCCCTTGACCTGCTGGCAACATCCTCCTGATGCAGGCCAGGATCCCATTGGCCTTCTTGGCCACGAGGGCACACTGCTCACTCATGGTTAACTTAGTGTCAACCAGGACTCCCAGGTCCCTCTCCGTGGAGGTGCTTTCCAGCAGGTCAACCCCTAATCTGTACTGGTGCCTGGGGTTATTCCTCCCCAGGTGCAGGACCCTGCACTTGTCCTTATTGAACCTCATGAGGTTCCTCTCTGCCCAACTCTCCAGCCTGTCCAGGTCCCTCTGGATGGCAGCACAGCCCTCCGGAGTGTCAGCCACTCCACCCAGCTTGGTGTCATCYGCAAACTTGCTCAGGGTGCATTCCGTGCCCTCGTCCAGGTCATTGATAAACACGTTGAACAGCACTGGGCCCAGYACTGACCCCTGGGGGACACCACTGGCCACAGGCCTCCAGCTGGACTCGGCCCCATTTATSACCACCCTCTGAGCTCTGCCATCCAGCCAGCCCTCGATCCACCGCACCGTGCRCTCGTCTAGYCCACTGTCCCGGAGCTTCCGTATGAGGATGTTATGGGAGACAGTGTCAAAAGCCTTGCTGAAGTCAAGGTAGACAACATCCACGGCTCTCCCCTCGTCCAGCCAGCCTGTCACCCCATCATAGAAGGCTATGAGGTTCCCCTTGGTGAATCCATGCTGACTGCTCCTCAGCAGCTTCTTCTCCTCCATATGCCTGGAGATTCTCTCTAGGATGAACCGCTCCATCACCTTTCCAGGGACAGAGGTGAGGCTGACCGGCCTGTAATTGCCCGGCTCCTCCCTCTTGCCCTTTTTGAAGACTGGAGTGACGTTGGCTCTCTTCCAGTCCTCGGGCACCTCCCCTGCTCTCCAGGACCTCTCAAAGATGATGGAGAGAGGCTCCCTAAAAAGGGTAATAATGGAAATATATATTTTTTTTATGCAGAGATTTGTGAGATCAGCTATTGGGTCCACATTTAAAAAYATATACATATGTGTAAGTACAGGATTAGAAGGGCCTTGCAGGTAATCTAGGTCAGCTTCCTCATACCGGAGTCAGTGTATAAATCTTGGAGACCAGACAAGTGAATCCAAGGCCTCTGAGGGAGCTGGTTGATTCAAAACTGGAAATCATTGGCCAGTGAAATGAAGTATTTGATAAAATACGAAAGGCTCATGTCTGGAGTAGCTGGCCCCTGTTCTCTCTTTGTACATATTTGTACATATACAGACTGCAGTCATGTACTATCATAATGTGTATATCACATGGATGAATGCATTTCTTTAATAAGAAAAAGCAGAAATCTAAAGAATAAGACTAAAGATGCTTTGTATCCAACATGCTGAGACTTAGTAGCTCATTGCCTTGTATATCTACCTTGTAAAAAGTACTTGAGRTTTGTAGCCACTTCAGCTGGTGGCTGTATGACCTTAACTTAGGCTGATTTTAGTCTCTCTCAGGGATCAACATGGTAGAAGTGGGATGAAAGCCTTGCAATTTTGAGTTGTGAGGAATAGATTATGGGTCACTGTGGGAAACACCTTTTTTTTTTCCAGTCTGCACTAAGCCCTGCGCATAAGCAAATAAAATCCTAGTTGAAATATCCTTTGGAGAAACTACTGTACTGCTGTCTCACCTGCCTGTCCTTCTAATCCCTGCCTTTGAGCCTGAGAAGGCAATGACCCCGTACAACCCACATATAGATCTCTCATTCCTAGCTCAGGCTCCAGACCGGCCTTACCTGAGTTTACAAAAAACAGTTAGGAGCAGTCTAGGTTGGGTCGGTGCACCATGGTTGCTCTCCTGGCTTTAAAATAGGAGATAGATTTGGTCCCACCTTGGTGTTGTGCATCTGTGCTGACCCTGGAGGCCTTGGAGAAAAGCTTCAACTCCTGCAGACCATCTCAAACTTTTAAAAGGACCTCCTGGAAGTGTCTCCTTGGCTTTCCAGGAGGACCTTTCTAGGGCTCCGGCAGGGCTCGCAGGCCCGTGCACCGCGGCTCCCCACAGCGTTCCAGGGCCCGTTCCCTGGGGCTCGCTCGGAGCCCACAGCCTGGCTCCCAGGGGCCGCCCATCCACGGGGTGCCCCCGGCAGCTCCCAGCACAGAGGGGTACATGTGGATTAGGAGCCTTTCTGTTACTTCATCGGGCTTGGAGCCCTTTGTCTTGGTCAGGTTCAGGATATCACAGCAAGCAGTAACCTCTTCTGCCTCGCCTTTCTCATGCAAACTCAGGTGCAGGTTCAGTGTCCGGCTAACACAGACATTTTACCTACATCCCAGCTGGAACCACTTTCCCTATTCTCTTATCTGAACTCARGTGATCTGATTAGATCCAGTCCTTTCTCTCA